TCCACTAAGAAACATTGTTTGGGAGCCCGTAAATGTGTGCGAACCTACGCCACTAAAGCCTCACCTTCATGTTTTCGATGAGATGCGCAAATTGGGCATGACCGTCGTGGGCGAGGGCAAAAGTGTCCCTGGCCCGTCCCAAAAACTCGATAAAATCAGCATAGTGTCTGGGCGAAATGTGCGCCAACCGGGAATGAGTTGTGTTGATGTAGGCGTTGACTGCCGCCTCCAGTAAAGGACGCAGTGGCGGTCGGTCGAAGGACAGCGGCTTCGGCCCTACAAAGACACGTCCGATCGTCAACGCCGGTCCCACGCTATTGGAGAGCGATATCCCACCTGGAATGCATCTAGTCCGGGCTGAGGCATGTTTAGCATCTGGTTGGATGGGCGGCCCGGTGGGTCCTCCAGGGGCGGACGCTCCGCATCGTCGCAACACATCGCTTAAAACAGTGGCGCACTGCACGTTCTTGACCAGCAGGGGCACCATGTGCCCCAATTCCGTCTTTCCCAAGGAATGGGCCAGCGCCATCGCCCAGTGAATGTCGTTGATTGCTGGATGTGTATCCTACAGGAAACCCCATGGGTCGTTAGGGCGGCGATTGAAAATCGGTCGGGAAAAACCCGAGCTTTACCTGGTTGTAGGCCAGATGGACGTTCTTCATGGCAAGCATGGCCAGTTTATAGGCGCGGGCTGGATAGCCGCGATGCTCCATGTAGCGAGCGATTGTAAAGAGTTGCGACGACGTCATTATATGCGAAGCGGCCTCCACCACGATCTGGTACGCCGTCTCGAAGGCCAGCGCCTCGTTCTCGCACAGAGTCAGCGCGTTTAAGGCACAATTGGGCGGGTCCTGGAAGCAACCAAGTCAACTTTAGTACGAGAGCGTGGGGCAAAGTTGCGGCTTTACCTTAGTGGCGCATTGCAGGGCCAAAGTGCGAGCACACGAACTCAGCTCATCTTGCTGCTGGAACCCGAGCTGCAACCGAACCATGGTGCCCCTGGACATGATGGTGGTGGCGACGGGGCCGGCAGCCTCAGTGGCCGTGAAAAACTGAAACCAGTTTTGCATCAGAGACGTCAGCGCCTCCAGGCCCAGCTCAACGGCGCAGGTCACGAGCCACCGAACCATCTCTCTCCGTCTCCAATTGAGCGACGACAGCGTCATCCTCATTACCTAAACAGAGGGTCACGTCTTATGCCCGCTTTCCGAACTCCAACATATCGGTTACATAAGCTTGTGAGTCTCATAAACTACCAAAATCACGTCTGCTGGGTTTCTCAACGTCTGTTTAAAGCTTATTGGTTCCATAAGTTATCGAATAGATATCTACTCAAAGATGGATGGTTATCGGCTTCATAACGTCTGACGCAAGCGTGTAGGGTTTGTTTTGATTTTTACAACAGAGCGATTCTAACCTAACATAACCTATTCTTATTATATAACAGCATTGCATAACAGTTTTGTTTTGTTTAACGTATAAAAATTTACTATAATTATTTAAAATGGATAATTTGAGTTCATCTTCTGATGATGAAATTATTGAACTTCTAAGTTATATTGAACGGCCAAGACGGTATCCTGAACGAGAGGACCAAATGAACAAATATGGAGATTCTGAATTTCGCGACAGGTTTCGTTTAACAAAACACTGTTTCAGTATATTATTGGACCTATTGGGGACTACCTTAAAACATATACTGTGAGAAGGAATTGATTGTCCGTTAGTGAACAGTTATTAGGTAAAAACCAGACAGCTTTTACATCAAATCTGTGGCGGTTTTTTGAAACATCTTCAAACCATATGTTTACCAACCGATAAAAATGCGTTTTTTTGTGGCGTCATCTAGCTTGCGATGCACAAAAGTGAAAGTTCTTTACTATCCGCATCTTTTCACCGGTATTTCGCACCTTCCGTACTACCAGTCAAAAATGAAACATACCCTGTCAAGCAGTTCCCTCTGTCGGTCGAACTAAAAAGGTACTTATCCAACGGATTGTTATGAGCTCGATATGACTTTGTCTGTCACCGTTGGGAAACCCATAAAATCTTATCGGTCTTATAACTTTTGGCCGTATTTATAGACGCTTCTCAAGTGACACTGAACACTCAAGTGACTGTCATAATGAAAAATGCGTTTTATAGTCGTCACTTCGAGATCAGCTGACGTGTAAGGGCGACTTGGACTTGAGTGTGGAGTATAGGACCCTTGAGTGTGTTTTTCTAACCTAACCATTCTGGTACCACACCTTCTGTCATAGTTGAGCTGAGAATTAGAGAGGTGCATGCGGTTTACCTATTCCTGCTCATTTGCAACTTCAGCTAGCATTAAGCTTCTATAATATGCTACTGGCAGTTTCCAGGTAGGCCAAGTGATAAGTGCTTAATACAATTACGCTTACACGAAAACAACTCTCGTTATGTAATATACTATTATATTGTGATGAATGATTACAGAACTATGCGTCTTCTGTCTAGCTGAATATACGGTTTTCCTCTGGCGCTCCATTTGTTTACTCCT